TCAAGAGCTTGTAATTCATCTTGCATAGCTTGTTGCCAAAGAGGGTTAGAAGAGGCCTCTTGATAGGATTGAGGCTCATGTAACGAAATAATAGCAAGAAAACAATGATAATCACGAAGGTAGTTTGGAGGCTTTCTTACCCGAGTAGGATGACTCAAGGATGGGACAACAAGCTCATTTGTAGATGAGGAAGTAGAAGAAGGCTCAAAATTATCTAATGCATTACCAGCAGGCAGATCATCTTCTACAGAATTGGTTGGAGCATGTGGTGAGGCATTGTAGAGCTCATCAGATGTACCTGCATTAGAATTACTAGGAAATAGCTCAATAGAAAACTTAGTAAAAAATGGAGGTTGATGAGAGGATGACACTTTGAAGTTTGACAATGATGAGAACATAGTGTGTTCCCAAAAGACAACATAACGTGAAACTTGGAGTTTTTGTGACATAGCATCCCAACAACGATATCCTTTTTGTGTAATCCCATAACCCAAAAAACAGCATAATCGAGCTCTAGGTTCTAACTTGTTATGTTCATGAGGTGGAAGAAGAACAAAACATGCACAACCAAAAACCTTAAGAAGATTATAAGTAAGAAGAATACCATGTAGACGCTCATATGGAGACTGGTTATTAAGGACTGATGATGGAATGCGATTAATAAGATAAGCAGCTGTAAGAGCAGCCTCACCCCAAAATTGCTCTGGACAAGAAGATGAAATGAGCAGAGCACGAACAGAATCAAGGATGTGTCTGTGTTTGCGTTCGGCTTGCCCATTTTGTTCAGAAGTATAAGGACAAGATTGTTGTGGCAGTGTACCCTGTTCTTTCAAAAAAGATTGAAGTTTAGTACCAAAATATTCAGTAACATTGTCAGTTCTCAAAACTTTGATAATTTTAGAGAACTGGGTTTTGACCATGATAGCAAAATCAATATAAATTTGTGATAATTCAGAGCGACTTTTCATAAGGTATATCCAGGTAAAACGAGTATGATCATCAATAAATAACACGAAGTACCTGGAACCCCCCCATGGTGGGTGTAGGAGATGGACCTCAAACATCAGAATGCACAAGATCAAAAGGAGCAGTAGAATAAGAATGACTACTTGAAAAAGATAAAGATGGTTGCTTTGCAGATTGACATGACACAAAATGCACAAATTCATTTGGAACTGATCCTAATAAACCACAAGAGATAAGTGGATGAAGTTTATCGACAGAGGTATGTCCGAGTCGTGAGTGCCATGAATGCCACGAATGGAGAGGAGAAATGTTAGTAGCAGCACAAACTTGGAAGATTTGTTGATATGGAATTTGCAAAGACTCTAATTCAATAGCACAAAGCAGGGTTTGGATGAATCGATCATTTGGAAATGATGGTGTATCCATTTTATTATCAGGAATATGCAGATAGTTGAGCTCAAACAAACGCCCCACCTTGCGACCAGTTCCAAGAAGTTGTCCTATCTGTGGGTCCTGCACACGACAACTATGAGTAGAAAATGTTACTTCAAGACCAAGATCGCATAATTGACCGACAGATAGAAGATTATAACTAAGTTTTGGAACTAAAAGGGCATTTGGTAAAGTCAACCACTTTGTAGAAATATTACTAATGTGACTAACATTCATAGGGGAACCATCAGCAGAATAAATATCAGGAAATGAATTATTAGGTGATATTGAAGAGAAATGAGCAGTAATTGAAGACATATGGTTACAACAACCAGAATCGAAATACCAAGGTTTGGTACCTGGAGTAGTAGATAAGGCAGTAGGAACATTAAAAAGATTTAATATCACTTGTTTTAGGGATTCAAGGTTGACATTAGGTTGTTCTATCACTTCTTTGGCAACCATAGCAGTAGCAGGATGAGTTACAATCCTTTCAAAACTCATCATAGAATCAGTAAACTCACAATACTGAAAAACTCTAAAAATATGGAGAAATAGATGCCAAAATCGAAATAACAAACCAACAAAATACCTTAGAAAGGGTCTGAGAATCAAGGATAAACAATCCAATCTGTATGAGAAGAGATCCCAATGACAAAGTTTCAGATCTAGAATGGAATTGAAAATCCAACTCCAAAAAAACCCAACAGCGATGATAAGAGAAAAGAACCAAGAGCTTATAGCTCTGATACCATGTTAGACACTGAAAAGAAGGAGAACTATCTAAAAAAAGGTTTATTGCTTTCTTGAATTATACTATGTGTACAATGACCTATATAGGTGTTTACAAAGAGAATATTTTAAGGTATAAAGTATACAAAGAGAATATTTTAAAGTATAAAATATTTACAATAATTCTAAATATAATTATGTTCACATCTTAACAAAGACATTGTCACCGGTTATCAATTTGATGTTCACGCCGGTGTTCTGTTTGCAATCTTCCACGGTTTGCCTCACCCAATCCTGGCATCGGTACTCAATGCCCAACAATGCTAACAGGATCAAGTTTTCTTTTTCAAGCCTTTTCCTCTCTTTTAAATCTTCCTCAACCGCTTCTTCAGTAACTTGTTTGTGGGCCAAAGCAATGCACCGGAGACCTCTCTTCGCCATTTCCTGAATATTTTTCTTGAATTTCATCCTTTCTTCACGGTTAAGATATTTCTTTGTTCCAGAGGCATCATAATAGCTTGAGCACATTGCCAGAATCGTCTCTGCTTCTCCTTTCCAATGAACATGAATTGTGTTATCTTCTTTCTTCGTGACCAGAACACCACTCCGTTTCTTCTTGGAATTGAAAGCTTCTGTAAATAAAATCGTAAAATTCTGCTTTAATAACTCCATATCCATCACTGGGGAAGCCCAAGAAAGAATTGCCTTTTCAGTTGGACTGCCTGAGAATTCGAATTCGGGCCCTGAAGAACTTCTATAAACACCACCGGTAGTGTTTAGAGCAACTCCTTGATGGATCAAGCCAGAAATCAAAGAAGAAGCAGAAGAATCAACTTTATGTATGGATTCATGTCCAATCCAAGACTCCTCCACCTTCATCTGGTTAAGCGTAAGAGTACCGGTTTTGTTGGTGACAATGACGCTGACAGAGCCCGCAGTATCGAAAGCAGAGGCCACAACCTTCATTCTCTCCATGGCTTTTGCTAGTGTGAGCTTAACAATCAAGGGTAAGCTTTCGGGGACCACAACACTGACAATAATAGCCGCAGCAGCAACAATCCCTTTCACAGCATTCACTACATTTTGCGCTTTCGTCTTGCTGCTGTCTTCTGTGTTTTTATTCTTGTCAATTCCATTGTTGGTGAAGTTATTGACAACAACAAGTAGTATAAGAATGATGTCACTAACCTTACGCACGGACCGCGCTAGCTTCTTCACTTTGATTTGCAGAGGTGTGTGGTCGTTCTCAACAGATTTTTTGCTCATCATTTGCTTCCAGGTGGTGTTCATTCCAACGGAAGTGACGAGCATCCGAGCATCCGCATTGGCCACCTTAGTACCAGATACCATGAATGGATTTTGCCTTAAATTCTCCTCATCATGATCATCCTTCCCTGTCATGCTTGATTCCACTACCTGCAGAGAATATCCAGGAACAAACAACCCATCTGCTGGAACTTTGTCACCGATCTTCAGGCAAACAATATCCCCAACGAATAAATCAAAAATTTGAACCTTTTTCTGTTGGCCGCCTCTAATGACATCAATTTCAGTATTGTTGCTGATTGGAGACATTTTCTCAAACTGCCTGGTCTCCCTGTAATTGCTGATGGCAGAGATGGCGATGACTAAAAAAGCGGCAACGAATATGCTTCCACACTCAATCCACCCTTCTCTCAGGCCATGCCCCTTGATGCCGAACCCAAGGGAAAGTGCTGCGCAGGCGAGGAGGATCAAAACATTGAGATCTTTGAAAGCCCCCACAACAAAAGGGTAGAAACTCAGTTTATTGTATGTGTTGAAGCCAAATGCTATCTATCGCCGTGTAATATCGTCATCATTGCCATTGATTCCATCGTCCAGGCTGGTTTCCAGCGAAGAAGCTACTCCGTTGATGCCGCCATGTTTTTCAAGCTCTCCTAGATTTTTCTCCTTGACAAGTCCGCTGAGAGTGGTCTTGTCAATTTTGAAAAATGCACTTTCTTCCGCTGGAATTGTGATTGCAACTTGGGAAGGAACTTTTTGAAGCTCTATTAGATTTTTTTCCCTGAGAGGGTCAGTGAGAGTGGTATCATCAATTCTGAGGCAACTGTTTTCCAGGGGAATTTTGAGAGTGACATGAGAAGGAATGGGCGGAACCTTGTTCCTGGCGAGAGATAACAGAGTTCTTGTGCAATAGAAGGTGGAGAAAGCAAGACGCCAATTTTTTTTACGTGTCTTGAGGGAGGCAGGGGCATCTAGCAAAGGCTCGGTGCAGATTTTGTGTGCTTCGTTGTGAACAGCAGACATGAAATCAGATCTGCAAGAATAAATTGATGAAAGAATAAGGAAGAAAATCTTTTTGTGAAACAAGAGCAAGAATAGAACAACAGAGCAAGAAGTGGTATGACGGGAAAAGGATGTGAACAGAACGCATAATATAGAACTCTTAAAAATCCGTGTTTATTTCGTCATATGAAGCTATGGAGAAGTTGCTTTTCCTGTTTCATGAAAAAGGTTATGAGAAGGAAGTGGGTGGAAAATCCTGGTCGGTTCCCACCATTTAACCACCTAACATGCATTGACGCATTGGTCGCTTGCATTTTTGTTTAGAGGAAAATGATAAATCTGAGGAACGATTAAGCTGTAGATACCGCCGTAATATTTTGTTTAAATCACTAATTTAATTGTAATTTTATTTGTTTATAATTTTTTA